AAGAAAAGTCGGTCTTGAACTGGATGTTTTGTTCAGCAGACCTAGTGTAAGGCCACCCAGGTTTCTAGGCCAACTTGCAAACCCCTGAAGTCATCTGACCCGGTGTTATGTCAGTTGGAGGTCCCGGTGCATCCCCTGAAAGCCAGCATCTCCTCTCCAGTTGCCAGGCAGCCGACATGGCTGTTCAAGGAGTTGGTGCTGTTGGAATACCATCCACTTGGGGGTCAGGGAAACTACAAAGAAGGCGTGATGCTTGGAGGACTCGCCACCTGTCCGTGCTGACCCCCAGAATACTGTCTGCGTCCCAAAGAGGCAGACAGATTGTTGCGCAAGATCTAAACAGAGCCCACATGCCATGAAAGGGATCAGCTGATTAAGTTCCGATTAGCACACAGCCCATGCTGCCCCTCAGTGTCCCTGCAAAGTGCCATCCATTCTGTTTTATTGGTGGGTGGCAGCTTGCTCACTAGTATGCACCTAATCAATGCAGCTTTAGATGATCATTTCAGAAAAGCAGTTGGTTAATTGTTCAACTCTTGCCATAGCATTGGGAACCCAAAATCTTAACTATGCATAGTCTTTGGTCTTCCTTGCCCTTGATAGTGATAGGAAACTAACCTCTGTTTTTCTGGTATTGGGGGGCACTTGGGACTTGTCGTGTATTCCAAAAGGTACCAGCTTCTCATGTCTCTACCGTGGACATTCCAGAGCAACCTGCATTTGTTTGTATTTTTGTTTATGAACTTTATTGCTGTATATCCATTCATGATTTCAGTGGAAGTTTTTCAGGAGGCTGTTGTGGTTGTTTATTTTGTTTTAATTGCTTTTTGGTAACTTGAATGTCAATGTGGCCTGAGAAAGAATGCCCCCAGAAATAAAATAACTACTGAATTTTGGGGGGGAGGGGCTTTAATGAAAGCCTGGGGCATTGCTGAATTCCATAAATGTTCATGATAATTAAGCCTCAGGTAATTATCTCCTCTTTGTCTCTGAACAAGGTGGACATTTGAACACTTTTCTTGCCCCATGGCATCATGGGCAATAGGGGCCTCACCAGCCCTTGAGTCTGGTGCCTTCGTTTTACAGACAAGGATACCGAGGCTCCACCTGACCGCCAGCATCATACATTGCAGAGCTGAGATTTGAACTCAGCTCCTTGCCGGAAAATTCAGCATGCTTTTCATTGAATTCTTCTGTCTCTCTCAAAGCATTTTAGTTAACAAAGAAGGAATGACTAGAATACCGAGGATATATGACCCTAAAAAAAATGAAACCCTGAAGCTTTTAAGAAATGTCTATCAGCTAAGCAAACAATTACTGGCTTTTTTATGTAAGTGAGTAAGTCTTTATTTGATGCCTTTGAAGATGACTGTAAAGTGTTCCCCTCCTGAGCACATTTATATAACATTTTAAAATTTACAGAGTCAATTGAGAAACATTTATAAAACACCACCTATGTGCCAGGCACTGTGCGAAGCGCAGGGGGATACAAAGAAAGGCAAAAGACAATCCTTGTTGAGGAGTTCAGGTTCTGATGGGGGAAACAACGTGAAAACATCTATGTGCTAACAAGCCATAGACCAGACAATTTGGAAACAATCCAGAGAGGGAGGGCACTCACCGTCAAAGGGCTAAACTGGGAAAGGCTTCCTTCCTGTAGAAAGTGGGATTTTAGCTGGAACTTGAAGGAGGCCTGGGAAGGTCTACCGTGCATGTTCTCATTTGAGTCTCACAACAACCCTGTGAAATGGGGATCACAAGTATTTTTATCCACATTTTATAGGTGAGGAAACTGGTGATTAAGTGACCTATGAGAGAACATCTAATTCTTCATGAATATGAGTAAGAAGAGAAAAAATATAGGAAGGATCTGGGCTGTGAAGAACCCAAAAGGCCAGAGGACTTTCTGTCAAATGCTGTTGATGATAGGGAGTCACTGAAGTCTATTGAGCTCTATTGAGGGGTGAGGAGACCAGGAGGGTATGACATAGACCTGTCCATGCTTTAGGACCATCGCTTGGTCAGGCAATGTGTTTGGGAGTGGGGAAGGACTCAGTGCAGAGTTATTAATATAGTCTTTGAGGTTCATGACTGGTTGGTTTTTTGTCTGTCTCCAGCATCTTGCACGGTCTCTGTCACATAGAAGGCACTTGATACATTCTGATGGAATGGCATGGAGTAGAATTGAAAGCCAGCCCCACAAACTTCAAGTCCATGCACAGCTCTTTCCCCTCTAGATGGCTAGCTGGTTGTGTTTAATGAGTTGCTTTCCCCTTCTGTTGAAGAAATCATCCTTGTGGGTACAAAGAGCCATTTTCTTCACATAAACATATATACGTGCCAGGCCTTTTAGTATCTGTAGGGATTTCCTTTCAAAGGGAAGAGCAGTGCAGAAACACCTGTAGCACACCTTTTAGTTACATATTCAAATCTAAACTTTTATTTTTTTAACATCTCACTGGATGCTATTTAGTCAATAGAAGCAGACTAGATTCATCACCGGGAAAAACTGTTTCTCTTCTAGTCAAATTTCATTTTATTCATCCCTCGGGGGGAAAAATTGCAATTTGGGCAGCTCTTGGCCTGATCTCTTTAATCCTGCTTTCTAAGAGTCTGTTGCCTGAATAATATAGTTTTGAGAAGTTATTTTAATATTTTTTCTTTGGATGAGACCTGAGAATTCATTATTTGAGGGAACTGAAAGCAGGGAAGCTCCCTCTATCAATTTAGGGCAGTACCTGCTCTGCAGCTTTTAGCCCTGGGGGACGGAGGGGTTAAGTGACGCTCTCAGGGTCACCCAGCCAGTATGTGTCAGAGGCAGGCCTTCCTGGCACTTAGGCCAGCTCTATCCTCTACTCCATAATGCCTGTCATGTTCAATAATAAGTGAGGAAAAATCTGTTTGGATGCTGACCTTGGAGCCAAGTAAATAACAGGTTGAGATGAATATGTCTCTGATTTTTAATTTTTAAAATAACACTCGGAGAAGGCAGTCCTTCTGGAATGGAGAAATGAATTGTAAAGAAATTGTCCTCTTCCCTAACCTAGTGGCCTTTTTCCTAGGTGGTTGAGGAGTTAATTGTAGCTAGGTCTGTCTGGGTCAGCGACCCCATAATCTTAACATATGAAACTCTGACCAGGGAACAAATCCAGTGTTCAGCTTGGAATTTGTCCCTTCTAGCCAGACAGGACCCTTTTCTGTGATGTTCAGAACATGTTTTGGGATGCCCTGGGTAGCAATTTGTTCTAGCCTTCGGCTCTGAAGTATCAACATTTCTTTGGATCAGGACCATTTCTTTGTACAAGTACCAAAATATGAATGTCTACCGCCCCACCTGATTCAGCAATAGTTATGCACGTCTCCAGCCTAGGCCACCCCTACTGAGCTTTTTGTTTGTTTGTTTGGTTGGTTTAGGCAATTGGCGTTAAGTGACTTGCCCAGGGTCACGCAGCTAGTGTCAAGTGTTTGGTCTGAGGCCGGATTTGAACTCAGGTCCTCCTGACTTCAGGGCCGGTGCTCTATCCACTGGGCCACCTAGCGGCCCCCTCACTGAGCTTTTAAAAGGCTGACCCCCTGCAGAGGATCTTAATCACAGCATGGGCATTCTGAGGAGGAGGAGGAGGAGGAAGAGGAGGAGGCCACTGAGAAATATCCAAGATGCCTCCAGATAGTAGGTGGGGGACCACATAGATCAAAAACTTCCAGTAACGTCAGGCGTCCGGGTTCCAGACTCCTTTCAACCACTTTAAATATAGTGATACTGAGAAATGGGAGACACGATTTATGTCAGTGAAGCCTGACTAGGGCTCTGCCCTGGCCTAGTCCTGCTGCCATCCTGCATTCAGACATAGTGTGCAGTTTTCCTGGAATCCTGATCTCTGCAGTGCTGTCTGGGAGCCTAGGCAATTACGAACGATTAAAGGAGAATGCAGCAACTTGGGAGATTAAGAGGGGTTAGTCAGGCAGAACCTGTATCTGGTGTCTGGTGGGGAAAGAGGAAAGATCCCTCTCCTTTGCTGAGCGGCTGCCTTCTGTTTATTTCTTTCCACTCTTGTCTCAGAGGACATCAGAAAGCTGAATTTGATAATCCTTTCATTGCCTGCTAGAGGCGGAATGTGTTGGGCATTCTACTCCTCACCCCCATTGGGTTCTGTGCCTCTCCTAAATTCAGTTTGCCCCCAGGAAATGCAGTAGCTCAGATCTGCTAGTAGGGAAGGTGCCAACTAGAGGCACAGAAAATAACTGGAGAGACTCCAGATTGGAAGCCAAAATGCCCAGAATGCCTCCAGGACCTTTCAATGCCCTTGAAAATAGGTACACCGCAGACAGACACGTCCCTGCTCAGTTCGAACACACACACATTTTGTGAATTCCAGGAATGATGGAATTTTTGTTCACCATCTTCCCACCTCAGTTAATTCTAAATAGCGAATAAATCACTTACATAGAAATAGCACTGACTTAGGCAAAAAGTCAACTCTTGCCCTTTCTGAAGTCTTTTCTTCCATTGCCATTAGCACCTATGGTAAAGGTGGTTCACAGAAGGGAAACAGTGATATTCAAAAGTGTTACTTACTCCCAACTTGAAGAAGTTTAGGGAGGTAATTGGAGCTATAGACTGAAATGAGGCTTTGCATAATTTGTGAATTTCAAATAGCCATGCTATCCATCCTTTCCCTCTCCCAACTTATTAGTAGAAATGATTGCTTCTCTGCTTTCATTTTATTTGAATTTTACTTTTTTAATTGGTTCAAACTAATCTTTTCAATATGCAGTTGTGACTGTGGAATTAAGGATGTTTAAAATTCTCTGCCTCTTCCCCTCTCCATAGGACAGAACAAACCCAAACCAAACCTCTTCCCCAAAGAATCGAGAGTTGACTTTATAGAAACCCCGTTTTGGATTGAGAAATCATCCATGTAAGCGTTTTATTTGAATATGTCAAAGGGAATTTTTTTTAAAGCAGGCTAACAACAAAATTTCCCATTTTTCACTGGCAGGCATCCCAGCCCTTTAATAGGGAAGGTCCCACCAGCGAGGAGGTCCCACCGTGGGGAACTTCTCCGCTGGTGTGGAAAACCTCCACTGAAGAGGATTCTTTGGTGGGCTCTTGGGCCCAGTACTGCCCCTGCCAGGTAAGCCAAGAAATGATCCTCATGGAATACAGCTAATCCTCCAAAACCCAGGCCATCTGATGTACAAATTAGCCAGTCTATCAGTTAACAGGCACCCGTTAAATCCTGACTCGGGGCCAGATGCTGTTTGAAGACCCTCGTGATACACAGACAAAAACACCTGTATTGCTGTCCTCAAGGAGCTCACATTCTGTTGGGATATATGTCAGGGTGAGTGAGCTACGTGCAAGGCAGATGCCAGATAACTTTCTAGGCAGGAGCAGATGTTCCTCTTATCCTCCTGCCCATTAAAATATTTCAACAAAAGGAGGTAAGACTCCAGTCAGTCTGGTTTGCTTCTTGTCAGCTGCTGCAGTAGAAAGGTTTGCCTGGGGAGGGAGCTGACACTGAGGGACGATGACTTCATGATTGCTGTTAGCTGTGGTTTCACCATCCTGAGTGGATGGTGGAGTGGACTTGTAATGACCATCTCCTACAGAGGGGGCTCGAAGGCACTGTGTCCTCATCAGCCTTTAAAAACCTGAGAAAAACCAAAAGAAAAAAACTTCACTGTATTATAAGTGTAAATGTTACCATGTAATAGGTAAAAAATGACAAAGTAAAAGTTTTCATTTTGGTGGTTATTCACCCATACTGCCCACATATGATATTTTGAATTACTAGATGGCATTAAGCAAACTCATTAGATTTTAACATAGTAAATTAATGTCAGTATGAGAATCTCTACTTTATTATTTTCTACTTTATGGGTTTTAATTTGCAGACTTAATCTTATTTAACTGTAATGTTGCATTAAGTATATGTGTGGAAGTAATTATGCACATTATATTGGAATAGCATTTTCATTTTATTATTCTTTTATTAATAAGGCTATAAAATATTTTACTTCAGAACAGTGCATGCAATACTGTTACCAATTCCTTGATTTAAGAATGCCCTCATTTTTTAGCCTCTTATTTAATCAGCTCTAAAGTTTCATTTGGGGGATAGTTTTTGAAAAGGAAGATGGCATTAACCTTCATGCCTTATTGCAGAAAAGGCTTCACAGCCCAGTGGATGGAAGTCAGGAAGATGGGGCTTTGGTTCTGTCTATGAGACATCTATGCCGTGAGGCCAAGGACCAATCACTTAACGTCCGTGTCCTCCACGACTCCCCAGCAGTCCTGGTTTCCTCATCTGTAAGCTGAGTGGCAGTGTTAGTGATAACCTTTAAGGCCACTTCTACCTCCACATCTTGTGAGTCCATTTTGCCATTGTACATGTTACAAGCTGCCGAGAAATTGTTGATCTGTGCTGATAAAGCCCTGGGGAGCTTTATCAAAAGGGAAGGGAGATCCCCACCCCATGACATCACAGGTCCAGAACCCCATGCCCTCTAAACTCCTCCCCCTCAACCTCCCAAACAAGAACAAACATCTTTCCTCATGTGGCTAACCTGAAGCTACCATTATTCTCTCACTCTGCTTTTATTGCTGATTATTCGCATCCATTTTGGGCATTATTTGTGCTAGACATTTGTTAACAATCACTTATTTCTGAATTTACCTCCTCAGATGACAATTATCAGAATAACAGATATTTGTAAGAAACATGAATGCAATGGCTTTGGAGTAAAGATTCCTGAAAACAGTTGGTGACATATAAGCTGTAAAACATATTTCACCCTAAGACCCTGAGAAATAAATGAAATAAATCCCTTAATAATTTGAACTATCACTTAGTAACTATCACAGATTGGGGAAAGAAAAAGAAATGATACCTAATATTTTATTTATACCATGCTTTTCTTTCCTCAGTTCTTTAAAACAGTAATTATTTCTTAAGGTGGAAAAATGTATTGGAATTCTTGTGTCAAGGAAGTTTTTATTTTGCAGATTTAAAAAATATATTATGATAAATAAATATCTCATTAGGTTGTGGCCCGAATGATATTAGGATCACCATTTAAAGGCAACGTGAACTGATGAGTTTGTCATTGCCTCCTGACCAGCATACAGATGTCAAAGACCACGTTAGGATTCTGGGCCCTAAATAATGACATTCATTCATTCAGCAGCCATTCAGTGAGGATTCTTGTGATTAGTCCAACCAGGGAGTGAATGCTAAATATTAGATTGATCTTTAAAGTGTGATTTGAACTGAGGAAGTCATTCAGGCAGCGAGCTACAGAAGATGGAGTTGGAGAAGGCAGGGAAGAAGCTAAAAGGCAGTAAGAGGTCAAGACAAATCGGTGTGCGTGTGCCAGGCCCTGGGCTAAGGAAGGGAAGGAGAAAGAGCGCCCCAGGCATGGCCAGACACAAAGCTGCGAATTGAGACCATGGTGTGTGAGGAGCAGCACACAGGGCGGTCTGGCTGGATCCCAGAGTTATGGACTAGGCGAAGTGCGAGGAGAGTGGACAGATAGGAAGGGCCAGAGTGGGAAGAGTTCTGAATGCCAGAGCTATTGATGGGGGGGGGGGTAACAGGGAGCCATACACACCTGTGCTTTCAGAAGATCTTTTTGGGGCCCAAGTGGGAGATAAGACAGGAATGGGGAGAGAACAGTTACAAGGCTACTGCAGTGATCCAGGGGAGAGACGATGAAGGTTTACACTAGAGGGAGGATTAGGCGAGTGACAAGAAGGCAACTTAGAAAAAAGATGTTGTGGTGGATGGTGAGGTTTCATCATTTCTTAACATTTCAAGACATACATTATCTTTTTAAAAAATCACTAACCTACCTTGTACGGAGCATTTGCTGGCGAAACAAAGATGAAAAAGCCCAAAGACTGCCCTAAATCTGTCTCTTCCTAAATAGGAAGGGAACAGACATACAAATAAGCCTCCTAGAAGGTAAAATGGGATTGGGATAGAGGGTTCTTGCAGTCTCATCAAGTTCATGTGCCCTTGTTTTCAAATGCATAAGATAAAATGCATAAGATTACAGGGGAAACCAGTTATATTGGAATGCAATTGTCAAAAATTTTTTTAAAAGGAAAGAAAATCCATAAGTCTCAGGTTAAGAGCCCCTAACATAAGGCAAAGTAGGGATTGCTTCCATCTAGGGCCATCTTCATAAAGAACCGGTGGAAGATGATCTGGGTGTTGAAGGAAGAGAAGGATCTCAGCAGACCCAGATGAGCCTGGGTGTGGCTGGAGAGTGGTCAGGCTGAGGGCGATTCTGGATCTTGGAAAGTATGTGACCCCCTGACCGAAGAGAACTCATGCAACTAACTCCCAGCAATGGAGAGGCTACATTGGTCAGCTCTTCCATTTGTTCAGTGAATGTTAAATACACCCTGGAGTGGCAGCACCTTTCATGAGGAAATAGTTCTAACACCTGCATCTGAGTTCCTGCACTGACTTTTCAGGCACAGGGAAGGAGCGGAGCTGAACTCCCATAACACACAGGTGCAGGCCTTCTGATGCCATCACTCCTTCCTCCTTATTTGACGTGGGCTCTAATGAAGAAGCAGCTGGCGGCCACTGCAGACTTTGTGCGCATCACCCCAGGGTTCACACGACCTATTTTATTTGCTGAGAATGTGTGATGTTAAAAATATATGGAAAGAGGAAGGCTTAGGGCACTGGGTGATGTCTGAAAAAGGTAAAGAAATGTTAAGATGATACACTTCACAGTGATAGATACTAAAGGCATTTAAGCTTTGAATCTACTAATAGCTGTGAAGTTTATCATGCTTTCTATCAGTTAAGATAATAGTCTCCCTGGTGGAGGAAGATGTACCACACTTCCTCTATGCATGTCTGTGTTCCTGTGTAATGGAAGATAATAATAGCTAACATTTTTGTAGGGTTCACTATGTACCAGGCATTGTTCTGCTGGGGTAAATAGAGAAGGAAGGAGGTAACCATCCTGGAAGGCCAGGATTAGGACATCTAATTCTACTCATGATCAGAAATTGCTCCAATCCAAAAGGAAACATTAGGATAAAGAAGTTCCTGTTAGGGCATTGACCTGCCTTCAAAGACTCACTGAAGACAGCTGGAAGGGACCCAGGAGATCCTGTAGTCCAGAGGTGTCAGATTTGCTCCTGAGTGAATCCCAAACCAGATTAAAATGTAATTTGGAAATATTTAACAGAATAAACAAAAATATAACATAGATAATATTAATTTGTGGTTTTCTACAGCCTGTAGAGATCCATTTTCTATTTGTTCTAGTCTATCACCTTTGTGAGGAAACTGAAAAAGAAGTATGATGACTTGCCCAACCAGGGAGGATCTCACAGACCAAAAGGGTAAAAAGAGGAATTCAAATCTGTGTCTGAGTCCATGCTCATGGGACAGTTTGGTGGTACAGAGGATAGAGTGCTGTGCCTGAAGTCAGAAAGACTCGTCTTCCAGAGTACAAATCCAACCTCACATGCTACCTGTGTGATCCTGGACAAGTCACTTAATCCTGGTTGCCTCCGTTTCCTCATCTGTGAAATGAAATAGAGAAGGAAGCAAGCCACTCCAGTACCTTTGCCAAGAAAACCCCAAATGGGGTCTCAAAAGAGTTGGACATGACTGAAAAATGACAAAACAGCAACCACCCCACCCTCTAATACCTGCTTATTCTTTCTGGTATTGCCCTCAGTGGTTCACGGTGTGGCAGGTGCCCAATAAATATTAGTTGATTGATTGCCCAATCTAGCCAATTTCCTCCATGACTTCTCCTTTTTATATATGTGGCAATAAATGCAAATTCGGGAAATCTTAAAATCTTTTACTTTGATAAATCATCGAGATGATACTAAAAGGTATCTGTGATTTATTTCATTATATTTAGTGTGTATGTCTAGACCAGGATCGAAACTTCTCTGTCTTTAGGTGTGAATCATTGCAAGAACTACCAGTGTTTCCCTGTCACGCTACATTTCCTTCCATCCTCTTACCCTTTCTGGACACAGCAAGCCTTTTTAAATGTTTTAGCTAAAGGAAAAATGCCTTTATCCTAGACCCTGCCAGTCAATATCGAGGCACTCGGTAAACTGCTGTGTATATTTCCCTAAATCACT